GTTTAGCTTCATTCAGCTATTAGGACTTTGAATGCCCAGCATTACCCTTCTCAGTGTACCGGGGCGGAGACAGGTGGGGTCTCTGTAAGGTTTAGTGCCCTAAGCCTACGGTAAACCAATCTTCTTTATTTGGCTGGTGGGATTTCTACCCAGGGAATTGCTTGGAGATATAATGTGGCTGAACTCAAGGAAAGTTTGAGAGGGACCTTTGCAATATTCTTGTGAATAATATAGTGTGGAAACAAAAAGCTGGTTAATTTTTCATTCAAGAAAAATACCTTCAGATCCATTTCCACAGTCATTCATTCTTCAAATGAGGGGCAAAAAGTTGGGTAGATGGGTAAGAGTGTGGCTGTGGAGCCAGGCCCTTCAGGCTCAAAGTCTGGCCCCACCAAGCTGTGTGGCCTTGAGAGAGTCACTTAGTTTATCTGTGCTTCAGGGCTGGGGATGTAGCTCAGTGTGAGACGCTTGCCTGGCTTACAGAAGGCCCTGGGTTTTATCCCCAGCAACACAACATATACACACATTACCTATGCTTCTGTGTTCCCCTGGGTAAGACGGGGGAAATGAGAGTATGGGGTGGGTCGGGGCAGGCGTCGTGGGGGACTTGTTAAAATGAAGTGAGTTAATTCGTGAACTACTTAGAGGGATGGCTGCTTCCTGTCAGTAGGGGCTGATGGTTAGGATCTTTTATCACCCCTCCATAGCAAGTTAATGCTCATCTTGGGGGTGCAACTTTGAATCCAGTGTGGTCCCTGACCTTGAGGTGAATGGATGAGTTTCTTCAGGGAAGTAGCTAATGAGAGGGTGCCCTGAGAGTCTAATCTCGCAGACTTGTAGAAACTAAGACCAGCAGCCGGAAGATTTCAGGTCTGTGAACTCAGACTCTGGTAAGTGCTAGGGGGTGCCTACCTGGACACCTTACAATTTGACTCAACCTCTGATCCTGCAAGGAGGTCCTTGTCAGACCACCCTCAGAGCACAGTGCTTCATCTTTTGGTCCTGAGGGGTGACTTGTGTGAAACACTGTGCTGGGCTGGGGTGGAAAAATCATTTTATTTTCCCCTGTAGTCATTGGTTCTCTTATCTTCCAAACTACATTTGGTTTTTTATTTTAACTTTTTGTTTTTTATATGTATGTTTTTGGTTTTGGGTTTTTTGGTGCTAGATGATGAACCCAAGGGTGCTTGGGGTGTGTGTGTGTTTCAAGTGGCCTGGGAGTGTCCTGGAGTGTGGAAGGAGAGCATAGGCGTGTTCCAGAATATTTGCCAACATCTGTGTGAACTTTCCATCTGACGTGCCTGGGTTTCTGTAGCAAGATGAGAAAAAGATTTTGAATTTTGGGCTCACTCCAGATTCAGTTTAATTTTTTTTTTTTTTTTTTTTTTTTTTTTTTCTTCTTCTTTCTGGAGGATCAAACTCGGGACCTTGCACTTGTGAGGCAGGCGTGGTGCCACTGAGCTAAATCCCCGGCCCCTTCAGTTTAATTCTTGATTCTATCCCTTCCGGGTTGAGTGACCTTGGGGAAATGATTCAATCCCTTTCCTGTTTTCTAGCTTCCTCATCTGTGAAAGAAGGATAATAATACACACATTTAAGGACTCTTGTGAGGATTGCATAGAACAATACCTGGCACAAAAGTCTAGAGGAAGTAAAAGGCCTGTTTCCTTCCCTTTCTGAGGTGGGTCATATCCATTGCCATTTCTGCGCCTCCTTCCCTTCTCCCACCTCCTCTGCCTCTCCTCAGTGGCCTTGCTGTGGTCAGCGGTCATCACAGTGGGCATCTCTCTGCAGTGTCCAAAGTGCAGACTTGGGAATGGCATTTACACATGCTGTAAAGGTATTTCAGCCCGGCTCCTGCGGGTTATTGGCTCCACGGTCCCTGCTCACACGGTCACACCCTGCCTACTCTCACCCAGCTGCAAGTGATGTCAGCGTCTCCCTGCCGAGAAGGGGCCCTCCTGCCTGTGGCTGCCCTGGGAGACCCTGGGTGAGGGTCCCCCTTGCAAGAGCACTGTGAGGCAGGGCTGGAAGTGGCAGTGTGCTGCACAGTGCCAGGGGCTGCCCCTCTGTCAAGTGTCCCCCTTGTCAAGTGTGGACTTGGGCTGTCTTTAGGGAGACGTCTGTCTCTTGTGAGACCTTCCTGTGCAATTTGGGGGACAGGAGTTTGGAGAGAGGCATTAGGGCCTATGCAGAGCAACTGTGAAAGGATTGATGCGATTCCTTCCTTGCTTTTCCCCACCCACTACTCCAAGTCACTGTCTGAAAATCTTTGGGACCTGTATGCATAGAGATGCAGAACACTCACTTTAATACCGTTTTCAGCAAAGGTGTTGGCTCTCAGGCCCCCAGACATCAGAGCGACCATTTAAGTATGTAGGCGCGCGCACACACACACACACACACACACACACACACACGGGACCTTGAAAGATTACAAGGGGGAGCAGGGAAGGCTGCTGAGGAGCTTGGGTGGGGAAGCAAAGAGGAGGAGGAGAAGCAGCAGGGTAAGAGGAAGCATGCCGAGCACCGGATGGTAGCCAGGCTCTGAGGCCCAAGAGAACTAGAACACCGGCAGACCCTTCCCTGCCGGATGCGCACACAAGCGGGGCTGAGAGGTAACTGAAACCCGACAGTGCCACCTGTCCACGGTTCTGCCAGGCTGATTGGCACCATGGCTGGAACCACCTGTGGTCTGCTCCCTCCTAAGTGCCCTGCCTGTGGTTTGGGGGCTCGGGGCCCTGAGAGGCTCTCTAGGAGTGAGGATGTCATTTCTGTCCCTTAGGACCCTGCACCCTGAGTTGGTTTTCTCTATTGACTGGTATAGATTCAAACTCCTGGTCCATCCTCTGATTCCATGTCCTTGCTGACCTGGAGCAGGACCCTCCCGGCTGACACCAGGGGCTGTAAGGGATTCTAGCTGGGAAACTCGATGGTCCTAGGGGAAGGCTGGTCTAAGAATGGCCAGGGCCAGGGTCAGGGTCAGGAGATCAGTAATTCAGAACTATCTCATGGGCAGCACTGGGAGCTCTCTTCTCCAGAGGCTGGAGATGCCTGGGCCCAGGAACCTGGCCAGGGAGGCCTGAAGTAGAAACTCACCACCTCCCTCTTCGTGGGTCACTCTTCCCTGGGACATTTGCAGGGGCTGTTGGGGGTTGGGGAATTCCCCTCTTCAGACTCTGTTCTTTGAATGCAAATATCTCTGGGAGGGAATCATACCTTGGCCTCTGATACCCTGGTGCAAATTAGTGTCAGGTGTCTGGTGGTGTTGTGATTCATTTTTTTCTGGACTGAAATATGGGGTCTGCTTGCAAGCTGATTCCCCTTTCCTTGGTGACCCTCATCTGTGGGGCCTCCCTCCTGACTTAGGAAATAGTGTCTGCCCCTGGGACCTGCCGGAGGGCCTGGGGAAAAGGCCTTCTTGGAGCTCTGGCCTGAGTCTTCCTCCCAGGCATTCTCCCTGGTCCTCTCCTGGGTGCTGAGATTGTCCTGAGTGGGTGTGCCAGAGGGCACAGAGGAAGGGCCTGCTTGGACAAAGGCCCAAATTGTCCCTGGACCTGGGAGGTCTTGTTTCCGCCTTATTTTGGGTTCAAACTTCATCTAATTTTCTCAGGCATCTTTGCCATGTGACATCTTATGGTCTGGGCCAACCTTCTCTCTCTCTCTCTCTCTCTTTTTTTGGTACTGGGAATCGAATGCAGGACCTTGTGCTTGTGAGGTAGGCGGTAGCACCCCTGAGCTAAATCCCCGGCCCCAGCCTTCTCTCTTGAGGAGAGTGATTAATTGAAGATGATCTGCTCTGTGATCTGACCTCATGTCTGTGTTGCTGGTTTCAGCGTGCTGTGGTGACAGAGGGACAATGGGCCAGACTTGGGGACACGTGGTGCTGAGCTTGCCTTGGCCCGGTGTGGGGCCGGGCTGGTCCTCATCCGGTACCGTGGACGGCTGGCTGGGCCCTCGCTCTCCGCCTGTTTCTGCTTGACTTCCTTTGGCCTCCTGAGAGCCTGGCAGGTAGCCACGCAGCTGCCTCTGCCCACCCGGCTGCCGGCCCGCCTTCTCCCCTTGGAGTGCGCGATCTTTCCGGGTGCTATCCCTCTGTCTCGGGGCGCCAGCTCCCCTGTACTGAGTGTGCTTGTGAGGAGAGCACAGTGTGGGGCCCGAGATCACCACCACAGTAGCCTCTCCAACATGACTTCTCCCCACTCTGCGGCGCTCTGGTGTGACACCCAGGGCAGAGCCCTTCACCCGTAGGGGACCTCGCCTTCCTCCTCTGTAGCAGAAAGGAGGGCTTTGTCATCCAGAAGAGAGATAACCTTTCCAGGTGTCTGAGAAGTTGTGGCCAGAAAACTCTCAGGAAGTCCTTATAATTGAATGAACTGGCGATGCTCGCTAAGAATAAACAGGGTTGGCCCCAGCAGAGCCTCTTTCAGAGGACGTGCTCGTGGCATCTGTCAGTACCCTCTGGGGAGTCCCGTGCCTTTGCAGGTGCCCTGCCATCCATCGCCATCCCTGTGCCCAGGGGGTGCACCCTACCTGGACACACCCCTCGGCACGGCCGCCTCTCTCTGGGCAGACACCCGCCAGCGTGTGAGGACTTAGGGAGTCCCCACGAGGCAGATCTCTCACTGCCGCTCGCTTCTTCCCTTCGGCACATCCTCCAGGCGGAGCAGGGCCTTGTGGGTCTGTTCTTCCCTCACTTTGCTGCCCTGGCAGGCGGGGAAACAGCTGTGACCTGCTTTATGGACTCTTTCCCAGGCATCCTCCTCTGGGGAGTTTTCTCTGCCCATGCAGGAATCCTGGAGAACTGGATTCCACAGGGCCAGAGCCGGGCAAGCTGAAGCTGCCTGGAGGTAACAAGTGACAGTGGGGGCCTTGTAGGAGGCCTGGGTTTGCAGAGTGGGTCGAAGCCAAGCTGAGGGTGAGGGTGGCAGTTAGGAGTGAGGGCCAGGGAGAGCTGCTGTGTCTCCGCTCCCACAGTACCGTCTCACATGTCTTCTCAGCCGCTGGCCTGCACAGCACCTTCAGAGAAAGTCGGCTCCTGCGTTGTCACTGTCTGGAAACGTGTACTGGTTTTCAAATTTGGGACGAGCTGGTGTGAGAGCTGCACGGGATAAGACTCAGGAGTCCTGTGCTGGAGGCCACAGTTGGTAAGGGGAGATCGTCCGGGACCTTCCCTTGTCCTCTCTGCCTTCCTGCCCTACCCTCTCTCCAGTGGGTGGGGGGAAGAGGAAGCTGGAGTCCTCCCTACTCCCGTGCTGGGGGGCACCCGGCTCTTGGGACTATATGGGTGTGGCAAGACGGGGAGGAGAAAGCAGGAGGAGCAGACCAGACAGGGGCAGTGTGGCTGCACTGGCTCCTGGGATGATTCCGGGTTAGGAAACTATACACTGCCAAGGCTTTTCTGTCCCCGTTTGCCAGAAGTTCGTTCAGCCGGTTGCCAGCTCCCGGTTCCTGGCTTTGTGATCTGAGTTGCCAGCTCCGGAGGAAGGAAGGTTGTGAGAGGAGCCACGAGCTGCCTTACCTCCTCCATCCCTGTCTGTCCTCCTGTTGAGAGCCCAGAGGCTGCAGGGTGTGTGGCAGAGCTGCGATCTTCATGGGTTCCACGTGTGCCTGTGGATAGACCCAAATGTGGGGCCGGAGATTTAGCTCAGTGATTCTGTCACCTGCCTTGCAAGCATAAGGACCGGAGTTTGATCCCCAGTACCAAAAAAAAAAAAAAAAAAAAAAAAAA